GAAGGGGGGGGGGGAAGGGGGGAGGGGGGAGGGGGGCGATGACGTCAGCTGGGGGGGGAAGAAGCGAATCTGAGTGGCTCATTAGCGATAATTAATAGGGTTTTCCGCCCACTCCATTGGGATGGAAAGGGGGAGGGGGGAAGCCGTTTCATGGCAGAAGAGCTTCCATGTTTCTTCCAGGAGAAAAAAAATGAAGACGGTGTGTAAATGGCGGATTTGCATGAGGAAATATCCAGAATTTGCTTTCGTGCTATTGAAAAGAAAAGGGTCAAAATGTGACTTGGAAATTTGCTTTGGAGATTTTTTTTTTTTTCGTGGGATGCCTCAGCAATTTATTTCACCCGTCAGGGACGTGAAGGACTTTAACCTTTCGTCAGAGAAGCGGATTAGCGTAATCTGGAAATGAGCCACTTTTGGCATCGCGCACAGAGGCGAGGAGGAAACGGCAGGTGGGGCGACGGAAGAGACATGTCGCCGAACTCGAGGACATGCCCTCGGTACTTTTTTTTTTTAATGGGTTCGTGGCTCTTGTGGGGGGGTTTTGGCTGTGTTCGCCTTTCGCGCGATATATCGCGCTTTATATCGCGCTTGGAGGGTCCGGCTCGTTCCGTTAAGCTCCCACGGTGATCGGGGTGACCCGAATCCTTTCGTTCGCGGGGATCCGCTATTTTTTTTTGTTATCGTTGCCGTTTTCCTCCGGGGATGCAGATCCGTGCAAAACCTTAACGGGATGGGGGCCCCCCGCCCCGCCCCGCCCCGAAAAGGAGAAAGGGGTCAGTAGGAAGAGGTTGCCCACGCGGATGACGTGGGTCGACGCTGTCTCTATATGGATTTCCCTTTTTCTTCTTGCCTTTCCATCCCGGTCAGGCAGGAAGTGCGGATGAGTCGACACCCCTCGTCGACACCCCCTCGTCTTTGCATACCCCCCCCCTTTATTTTTATTTTTTTCATTTGTGGGAATTGTGGGTTGGTTGTGGGAACGCGATTGTCGATCGATTCCCATGCTGCGGACGCGTGGAAATGTTGTGGCGAACGGGACTTGTGATCTATGGAATAATTAAATAATAATTAGATGAATAAATGAGTAGGTTTTAAAGGAATCTCCGGTCCTTCAACCCCGGATTGCGCAAGGAAAGAGAGAGTGGAAGAAACGTGAGGAATAGATTTTTCTTTTACGCTCCACATGCCACGACGATTCACGACTTCTCGTGTTTGCAAATTCTTCTCATCCTTCTGAGCGACAAACCGCAGATGGACACGGGCTTTGGGGGCGGGGCGGGGCGGGGCGGGGGGGGAGGGAGAGCCCCGCGGAGCGTACGCGTGAGAGGTCCCAAGGTCAAGGTCGAGGAGCGTTTTACGATTTGAAAAAGCGACGTGACTAAGAGAAGACTGACTCACGCCAGGGGATAATCGATATTTGAGGGCCTCACTTGGCCTTTTGGTGGCGTGAAGGGTTGGAGCGTGGGCGAGGGGGACTCCGTGAGGAAGTCATCCTTGATTATGGGGGGAGGGGGGGCTTGTAATGGAGTCCGGTCATTCTTACTGTTGGGGGATGTTTCCTCATGCAAGGAGGGGAGGGGGAATTTTAATGCGTTTTTTTAATTATTGGTTTGCTGGTGTTAATTAGTTTGATTGGTTTTGGGGTCTCGGTAGCGTTTCCGTTTATTTGTTTATTTATTTTTATTTTATTTTCTTACAAGTTTCGTGTTTTTTTTGGTTTGGCTTGTTTGTTTCCTTGTATGGTTTGTTTGCTCGCGTTTTTGGTGTGTACTTTCGTCGATGGTGACTTGTGAAATGTTGCGGAATGATTCGGGAAGCGCATGTTAATTGACGAGTTTAACCCGTTTAAGTCTTTTCTTTCCTGTGGAGTTTCCGAAACGCTTGATTGGAATTTTAATTAATTGTGACAGAGATGACTAGTTATGCAAAAAAAAAATGGCATTCGTGGTATGGTTAAAGCACTTTAATATCACGGCGTAACTTTTTCGGGGAGACGTTTTATCAGATTGCGATGAAATATTTATTTTAAAAAAAATTGCCGTCCTGTAAATACGACGATGGGACGAAATGGATTAATATATAAATGGGTAGGAGTAAAAATAAATAAGGGAGGACTTACCCATGGCGACGGCGAGGGTGCAGACGGAGAAGAGAAGTAGGACGATACGAAACATATCGAGGAGAAAAAGGAGGAAAAAGGAGGGAGGGTTCACCTCATGTCACAGCCTCGCGGGTCCGGACTCCGCTCGCCGTCATCCCGCGAGCCCGTCTGACCGGCTGAGGTAACGACTCCGCCACAGGTGTCTTACTCAACGGGGTCCTCCCTCCCTGCCTCCCTCCCCCCTTCCTCTGGACGGGTCGGAGCGCGCGGGGAGGGTAATGGGGAAACGGGGAGGAGCGCACCTGCCTTGCTGCTGGTCACACTTCGTCTCGTCTCGTTTGTCGGCTGCCCCCTGTCGAAATTGTTATCCATCGCCCCCCCCTCGCCCCTTCTGCCGTGTGTTCTGGGGTTTTCCGGTCGAACATTTGGCGTGGTTGGGTGGGAAAAAATTGGGCCGATGAATAGGGACGACTGGACGCGATTGCAAGCCCTTGCGTTGCAGTCAAGGCCGCCCCCGCCGGCGGAAAAGTACCGGCTCGACATCTGGTCCGTCCGACGTCATCGCCCTTCGGTCTTGCGAGGACGGGCAAGGATCGTTTCGGGGATCGAATCGCGGATGGGGGTGGCGAGGGTGACGTTCGGGGGCTGGGGGTCAGTGGACAGGGGGCCGATGGAGGGATGAGATACGGGTTGCTAGATGTTTTGTTGCGTCGAGGCGGGATTGCGAGGGAGATTCCGGAACGTTCCGGAATTTTACGTTCCGGAGTGAAGTCGTGAGGTCGAGTTCGATCGTAACGAAATTTTTCCGGCTGCGGGACGTGACATTTTTTTCCATCGCAAGCGTGAAAAACCGGGCGGCGCGTGAAAGGGATGTGGCAACCCTGTTCGGTGCATTTGGGGCACGGACCGGCCTCGAGCGGAGAATTCGGATCCGTGCCTGCTCCGGTCCTCGTTAATTACGTCACCTCATCGGGGATTGCGGGACGGAATGGGCACACGTCGGCGGGAGGCGTCTTCGCGAGTTATTTTTTTTTTTTCTCGGTACACTGACCTTTAGAGAGACAGATGACTGGGGGGAATCATCTCGGTCGTTTGGAGGAGGGAATCATCTCGCTTAATTACCGGCGATGCATCCTGGTTTCGCCATATGGGCCGCGTTCTCGGATCGCGTCCGAGCGATCGCCTTCACCGGAGGGGCCACGGCCCGTCGAAAAATTGCGATGAGTGACGTCCGTTTGTTTTTCGTCCGGGAGGGATTCTCGGGAACGATCGGGGGTCTTTTCACCCCGATGCGAGTTTTTCGACGCGGTCCCGAAAGGAAACCTGCCGGGGATCGGCTCCATCCTGTCGAATGTTTCGATGGTGACGGATCCGGACGAGGTTTCGTCTTTCGACGATGGGGCGTCGGCCGGGCACGGCATGCTCATCGTGTTTCCGCTTTTGCCCACGCCGCCTTTAAACGCGTTCGAATCGGGAATAAACGCGTTGAAATCGCGGTTCATGGGAATTCGTCGTATTTTCGTGCGTGTCGAAGACGAACGCGTTTTAGTAAAAGTGTCGTCGTGAAACCGATCCGACGGAACGCGTCCCGGCTCACGTCCCGTTTTGAAACCGGAACAGTTGGGGTCGAAGTTCCTGGAGCGGGACGGCGGGGAGACCCCGCTGGAGCTGGCCCTCCGGACGAAGCAGGAGGACGTCGCCCGGTCGCTCATCGGGCACGGCGCGGGGACGGACGAGAGGAACGCGGCCGGGCACGCCCCCCTCCACACCGCGATCCTGGAAGGTGAGTGTCGTGCCTCCTCCGACGCTTCGGTGTCGTGCCTCGAGCCGAAATGCAGTGAGCTCGCGGCGTGCCGCCGATCCGGTGATTCGCGCTCGGGCGATCCCGCGTCGTCGTGAGGCGCGAGGCGCCGCCCGTCGACGCCCTTCATTATACGAACTTGATTTTTTTTCCGGTCCATTAGTCTCGGCGTCGCGCGATGACTCGGCGTTCCGTCGAGGGCTCACCGTAAAATCGAACTCCACCGATTTATCATGATTAATTACGTGTGAATTTATTTGAATCCTAGGAGACTGCTGGGAGGCGTCGTTCCTCCTGGACTCGGGCGCCTCGCCCTCGCTGCCGACCGCGCCGGCGCGCCTCACGCCGCTTCACCTGCTGGCCGCCTCGCCGCACGCCGCCGTGCGGCCCCTCCTCAAGCGCCTTCTTTCCCTCAGCTGTGATGTCAATGCCTTAGACCGGGATGGCAGGTGGGCAATTATTTTTATGTTGCACGTGTGTTACTTTCAAAACTTAAAAAAAAATATTTATTTAAATATTTTTTATATAGTAGTATTAATGACTTCAAATTCTATTTTTTGTTGAAGTTGATGTTTTCTATGGATATTTGTCAATTTTTTTTTGTGTTGGAATTATTATGTACTCGCGAAAGTTTCCAGAAAATGCCGCAATTCTTAACTTTGCGGCGGTTCTTGCGGCCGATGCACACCGACCGCGAAGTTCGCAGTCATTTCGCGACTGCGACCGTCTGCGAATCGTCTTCCGCACCGGTCGCGGAGCTCCCAAGCGAAACCGAATGCGGCTCTGTGCAATGTGAGAACTCGTGCTGCAGCACTTTAGCTTTTTTTTTTTTTTTTTTTT